TTCTGTAAGTCGAAGTATAAGTCGGTCTTGAATATCCACCCTTGTGGGTTTTTCCATTGAAGGAAGGAATCTCCATGCGAACAGTTTTCAATGGTAATGGAAATTCAGACATTGTTGCTTTGTGGTGACCGAAAGATGCAGATGCTACCTTTCATGTTGAACGCAAGTTAGGGGTAGAATTCTCCTTTCTCGCACGTTCGTCTCTGCCAAGAAGCAAATCTTGAAGTTGTTGCATCTGTGCAGCCAAATTTCCCAACTGTGTCTGGGTTTCACGTTGACTCTCCACAAAGCATTGATCAATGCGAAGTTGGAAGGCATGGTTCTCTTCTCTGTCCTGGTCGATTCTGAGTTGAAGAGAAGAAAATTCCTCTGCGAGTTCTTGGATCTTCATGATGATCTCAATGAAAGCACCAATGATAAGATGAATTCTTATCGATGGAGAGAAAAAACGAAAAGAAAAACTGAACTGTTTTATTTCTGAATGAATATGCTTCAATGTTACAAGTTCCTATTTATACTGTCGATATTTCTTATGCTTGCTAACCGAAAAATAACAGAATAGCTACCACATGTTTCCATGTAACTAACCTAACAGCTATTACATGTTTACTAAATAGTCCTTAGCCCACATTGGGGCTCTTCTGCTTCTAGTTGGCTTCCTCAACGTATCATTGTTCCACGCAAAGTAGAGAAGAAGAAGAACCACAACCATGGGAAGCAGAGGCTAGATCTTCCAACTCCATCGCTAGTGTTCTGCCTATTCGAGAAGAAGACAAACATAGGACTTTACGTTAACGTGGAACTCTGTTTTTCATTTTTTTGTTACCAAATTATATGTTCTATGCATTTTTAATTGTATTGTGTATATCACAATGGTAAGTGGTTTATAAATGTTAGGGGACTCAAGGTGGTGATGGGTGTTTCACAAACTCCAACCCCATTATTAGTATTTAAATAGACTAGTATTAGCCTTTCTTTTCTTAATATTACGGCCTCCTCGTTTAGATCTGAAGGTGCGATTTTTGGACAAACTTCCAAGAATTTTATTTCATGAGGATTTGAGAATAATGGATTTAGTGTAAGCCTTTTCCTTTTTTATATCTACACTTGATTTTATTTTTTTAAATATATTTAAGCTATGTAGCTACTATTGTTTTCTTTTTCATCTTTTTTTTGGATATGTTTAATGTGCTTTGATCTCTATCTATTACACAAAGGTACTCATTGATCCTGGAAAAAAGCCCTTATTTAGTTTTTTTAGTTTTTCCTTTTCGTTAAAATTACTAGATAAAGTGGTGAATATCTTACAAACCACGAGAGGAAGCGATAGTCTTTGTATACTTCATATTTCATGCTCATTTTCTATGATCTCAAGTTTTTAAGTTCTGGAAAAAATATTTGCTAGCCATAATTTTATTTTATTTTTAATTTAAAGTTTGTTCTTCCCCTTATGATATTTGCCTTTTATTTTTACTATGATTTGGTAACCTTCTTTTGATTGGTTATTTGTGTGCATATACTGATACTTCACATTTGCACTTATGTTTGACGATGATTTTTACTTTTATCTATTGATTGACAAAATACATGTTTATGTTTGAAGCATCTTTTTATTGCTTTTGTGTTGGCAAATTCGTGTTGTCTTTAGTCATCTGTTTGGAAAACACAAATGTCACAAACATTTCAATTATAATCTTTGATGCCTTATTTTCCTATTTGTCACAAACAAGTGTAATATAGGATGTGTGACTCTAGATATCGTTCCCACAGAGAAAACTATAAAGTTGGGATCAATATGAAGCAATAAAAGTAACAATTTTTATAAAATTTTTATGATTTAAGAACAAGAAGGACTAAACTTATACTAACTACTAACTAATTACTAAACTAAGCTAAAAGTAAAATAACAATAAAGTAAGAGTGCACTCAAGAATAAGGAATTCAAGTATCAAAGTAGATTGGGGTCAAAAATTTTCCAATATTGTAACTTCACATGAATACAGTAACAATGCTATAGCAATCCTCCATCAGTAATTAGAACATTGTGTATGCAGGAGCTCTCACCAATCTTACATGTATATTAGTTCCCATAACTCTATGGATAACTAATTACTGAATTCATCAAGTTCAAGTTCTATATGATTTTGTGGTGTGAATGATATCTCTATCCATACTTAACCAAATTAACTAGTTAATCAACAATGTTTAATAACTTTCTGATTTCACCTATATCTCTATAGTCCAAATCCCATAACACTTGTAGCTCTCTCGATAAGTCAACAAGATTAGGAATGAAATACTTTATTAAATAACTAATGAAAAATAACAATAACAAAGTTTAGGAAAACATGGTTACATCACAATACAAGTACTATATCACCCAATTCTAATCAATTTGGCTCATACTTGAAAGAAAAGAAATAGAGAAGAAAGAAGAAAAGAAAGAGGAAAAATCCATGGAAACTAAGATAAAGAAAGACAGAAGCATTGTTGTAACTCTGCTCTCGCAGCGACTCCACAAGCTGCCACTCTCCACCGTCTCTCAACCATCGGAGTAGTGCAGGGGTCAATCGTGTCCAATGATCTCTCTATTAGACCCTAGCTTGACCATTTGACATGTTGGACCTTTCTCAACAAGGTGAGTTGAAGTGTGTTTCTGCATCTTTATTTATAGATATGAATGACTTGTGCTCCAAGTAACTTCTTAATTCGAATTCCCTAAAAAGTAGCTTCGTAAGAGGATTGATTTTATCCTTAAAATCATATTTACCCTATTTGTTGCTGAATTGTAAGGATTAGAGAAGATATGTGCTTATCGTTTAACTTCCGTAGGTTCCCAATCCTTATCCAGTGCTATAACTGTCTTATCTCTCTGTTTGAATTTGAATTTCAAATGTTAGTTGCTTATCCTATCCCAAACACACTGTTTCACTTAAGCCCGATTGCTATATCTTTGCTACGACTTTGATATGCAATAAAAACTTCAAAGATAATGAATAACTCTAGCACTTGAAATAACATCAAATATCAACACTTAGTATATTTCTCATTCAAAACATGAAGATACAATATTAATGCTAATATCATATATGTCTAAGGGAATTATGCATAAAATATGGCACCAAATCATCAAATAAGAGCCTAAAAATAACTTTCCATGAGAGAATTATCATTGCACTTCCTCGCTTTTGGTTTGGTTCTAAATTGTGTTAACATTAATGGTGCTTAATGTGGACTCAAGACAAGTTTAGCTGAATTTTCATGGTCATTGGAAATGCTTCCCAAGTATATGTGCTTCTGTTGTTTAATGCATACAATATCATCATCATCTAAAAAACAATCTCCAACATTTTAGACTTGCTTTTCAGTTATTTGATCTCTATCAATTACACAAAGGTACCCACTGATCCTGGAAAAACCTTATTATTATTTTTTTGTTTTTCCTTTTTGTTAAAATTACTACATGAGGTGGTGAATCTCTTACATTCTGTTATATTTTCTTCGTTTATTACGTGCTTTCATCATTAAAATCACTTGGTTTTTTGTTATTAAATATAATTGCTAATCTAACATAATGTCCATGACAATTTTTTTTTTAATATAATTACTCATCTAACATAATGTTTAGTTTTCTTATTCACTATTTATTATTTTTCTACTTTTATCTGTTGTCAAGTTTTAGTTTCTTATTTTTTTTAGTTAAAGTTTTTTTTTGTTTCAATTCTTTTTTATATGATATATCTAACACTGAGGTTTTTGAAGAATTGATTATTTATTTATAGATAGAAATGTCATCTATTGAACCTAAAGCTCCAGTCTCACAAGAAATTTCATCTCAAAGAAATCAACATAGAGGAAAAACCTTTCCAAGTTGGGGACATTGTAAACAACTTGTTGAAGAGAATAGGGAAATTATCCTAGTTTGTCTATATTGTGATAAGATAATTAAGGGATGTGGCATCAATCGACTTAAGATCCACTTAGTCGAGGAAAAAGGGCAAGTTAGTCAATGTAAGAAGGCTATAGCATAAATTCGTTTTGAAATAAAGCAAAATATTGACGAGCGTAGAAACAAAAAAAGAAAAGTCTAAGAGTGTAAAGAACCAATTCAACCAAAAAGTTCAAGTTGTTGGGTGAAGCTACATTAATGGTTTTTATACTTCTCTAACATGCCCCCTTATACGAGAGCACACTAGGCTTGAGTGGATAATGCACAGGCCCATATACCTTTGTTAAGAAACTCCACAAAACTTAATTAATTATTAATTAAATTGGGGCTGTGAGGATCGAACCCGTGACACCGAGACTCTGATACCATCTAAAGAACCAATTCAATCCAAAAGGTTAAGTGTAACAGCCTGTAAGCGTAGTTACAATCACAACAGTTCATTTAAAAATGCGAGTAAACTTTTTCCTTTTCATTACGTCATCATTTAAAACAATAATAAAACGTAATGAGTAAAATTTATGATCATAACTGAAAACTAAGCACAGAATAATTACAATAAATGTCTAACTATCATATAATGCTTCTCTCAAGTCACTAAGGGGTTCCCATAAATCCACTTAGCATAATTCTCACTTTTACGATTTTTATATAACTGAACATGGTTCAGCAATCTTGATATTGCGATAGATACGCATGCTATGAACCTCCCATATTTTAGTATGCTATTCTAGACTTAATTATCTTTCCAACAAGCTATCAAACACTCCATAAAGTTCTCGTTTGCTCCGATTATCACCGTTTGAAGTTAGACAAGCAAAGTTGCCAGCCAACCTCAAATAGGATACCAAACAGCCTCTACTCTTTCAACGATTCTAGACAAACTATTTCACTAATTGCTCTCAAATTTTTATACAGTAAACTAGACATCTCAAGATTCAATGTAACATATCATGGGCCTGATTTGACCAAGAATTGAGGCGGGAATAATTTTTCCAAAAACAGCACCCGACAGCCCCATGTGCAGGGCACTTCTAGACAGTCTCTACTCAAACTACTCTACAGGTCTGCGTACAACTCCAATGGCTACCAAATTTTGACACAATGTAGTTGACAAACTCAACCTCTCTACAAATAAAGAGGAATCACTAACCTCTCCTATAGCAGTAGTAATACACATGGGAGGAATCATTCGTGTTACCTTTAAATTCAATCCTTTAGCCACATATTTCGTCACGAACGAATGTGTCGCTCCCGAATCAAACAACACAGATAAATCAATATTATAGATGAAAATTATACCTTTAACCAGATTCGGTGCCTTCTCTGTCTGCTGCACATTGGTAGTATAAATACGTCCCATATTAGGAACAGATGGCAAGGCCTGCAGATTCGCTATCTGCCCAGTATTACTATAGCATTCTCTGGCAAAGTGCCCAACCTTACCACACTTGAAACATGAATTTGGAACCGCAGTACAAGGACCCTGATGGTACCTCTTACACTTATCACATTGAGGAGCAGAACTCCTGTCATTGAAGCCACCCCTCTGGCCACCACCTATCTTAATTGACCAGGAGGCTGCCTTACCAGTAACCCCCTACCTCTGTTATTATTATGATGATAGCCACCTCTGTAATTAGAACCAGAAGGACCATCTGTCCTCTTAACCTCTTGGTCTTTAGCAGAATTTGATTTCGGATACCTTCCATATACAGTCTCAACCCACTTGCACTGGGTCACTAAGTCAGCAAAATTCCTCACAGCAGTGTTTGACATACGCTTAGCAATTTTCTCGCTTAATCTTCTTTGAAATTTTGCAGATAGAAATTCCGAAGTAGGCAGAGTACCCCCATAATTAGCAAACTTGACCAATTTATTGAACTTGGCCAAGTACGCATCCACCGTCATAGAACCCTGTACCAATTTATCAAACTCCCCCTGTTTAGCTTCTCTAACATCTCAGGGAAAGTATTCTTCATGGAACAAGCTCTCAAATAAAGCCCAATTCAGCTCCTCTCCCTGAATAACGAACGGGCGAGATACATTGCACCACCACTCGTGGGCATCACCCTCCAACATATAAACAGAATACATTAATTTCTGAGGATCCTGGCACCTCATCACCTGAAATATTTTGTCCATACCCATAAGCCAGGTAGTAACCACCTTCGGGTCCTTTGACCCATGTAATGCTGGAGGTTTATGTTTTTTGAAGGATATGAGTCTCTGCTCATCAGCAACACCAGCATCAAACTGCTCAGCAACACCAGCATCAAACTGCTCAGCAACCTCAGAAGACTGAGCAACATATGTAAGATCAACAGTGGGCTGACTAGCCTCACCAGAATGATGACTAGCCCCACTATTCCCCTGCTGGGGTGTAACAGATGGCGTAGGTGTAGGAGTCACCGTAGCCATATGAGGAGGAGAATCACCCCTCCTATGCTGAGCTCTCTCAGCCCTCATCTCAGTCATGAAGGCCTGCAACATGTCCTGATTATTCTTCATCAGGTTATCAAGTCGGTTGATGCTTCTAATGTGTCCAAAACTACAAATTCATTATATAAGATTTTTAGAGATGTGGTGTTAGATGTTGGCCCTAAGAATGTTGTTCAAATTATGATTAATAATCGTTCAAATTGTGTTGCTACAAGGTTATTAGAGGCTAAGTTTTCTGAGATTTTTTTGTCTTCTTGTGCTACTCATTATATAAATTTGATGTTACATGACATTGGAAAGTTAGAGGAAGTAAGTTTTGTTGTGTCCAATGCTGTCAAAATTAACAAGTACATATATAATCATTGTCATCCATTGCACTTGATGAGAAGATATATAGGTGGAAGAGAAATACTTCGTCCAGCTCCAACCCATTTTGTCACTAATTTTATTGCATTACAAAGCATATTGGCTCAAAAAGATATAGTAAGGGCCATGGTAACTTCTAGAGATTGGACAAGCTCAGCCTATTCTAGGGAGGCCATGGGAAAAAAAATTGTGAACAAGTCTTAGATTCTAATTTTTGAAAAACAAATGTGCCGATATTGTGAAACTTACTGAGTCGCTTATTCATGTGTTGCATATTATTGATAGTGAAGATAATCTTGCCATGGGTTTTCTTTATCAAGCTGTATTTAAAGCTAGAGAGGAGAGGAAGGAGATTTCAAAGAAAAAAAAAGAAATAAAGTGGGACCTTACTTGAACATCTTAGATATTCATTGGGATTCAACGCTTTGCAAAAATCTTCACGTCGCTGGTTATTGGTTAAATCCAGGTTGTCGTTACAATGCTCAAGAATTTAAAAAACATCAGTTCACAACATCAAGCTTTTTGGATGTCATTGAGAGATATGTTTATGGGGATCTTGATTTAAATTCCAAGTTGAAAATTGAGATGAGAATATTCAAAAATGTTGAGTTAGATTTTGGAATGCCATTTGCTAAACATGAACAAAATATTGTGATACTAGGTAAAAATAATGGTTGATATTTTTATTTTTTATGAGCATATTTTTTTATTGTTGTTGAATAATTTTAATACTAATTTATTTTATCACATGCAATATTCTAGATCACTGGTGGTAATCTTATGGATGTGGTGCGCTTTGCAAAAATTGGCTATTCGTGTTTTAAGGCAAACTTGATGTACTTTGGGTTGTGAACACAACTGGTGGGAACATATTCATTCGAATAAGAGAAATAGACTAGAGCATCAAAAGCTATTAATCTTGTCCATGTTCATTACAACTTGAGGCTGGCACAAAGGTATTATGTTTATTGACTATTTACTTTTTTTATGTAAGTGTCTCTCCAAGTTTTTTTTTCTAATGTTGAAAATTGGACAAACTAACAAACATAGAAATTGATTGAAGCATCAAAATTATGATCCTATAAATTTTAAAATATTTTAGGACGACTCTAATTGGATACTGGAGGTGTCACCACCATACTTAATAGCTAAAGAAATTGAGGCTTTGTTGAATGATCTTATAAATGTTTCCATTCAACCACCTTTAGATGGTGTTGGTGTGTTTTTTTGTCCTGTTATGATTATAACTTTATTGTTTGATCCATTTATGTTAATTACTAACTTACATGAAAAATGATATTTGTTTAAGATCAATTAAATTTGGAAGATGATGATAAAGATGAGGCACAAGACAACGCCATGGGAAATGTGAATTAAACGGAAGGCAATGTTGGCCAAGCATTATATTTATTTGATGAAGAAAGAGAGCATGAATTTGACACAACTTTGACTCCTTAAGCATTGATGTGACGGAAATTTGTTCCCATCTAAGCTCATTTTGATGGTAAAATTCCATTCGTTCCTTCATCTGGTGAACAACTTTTGCATTAAAAATACATGTTTAGATCTTTACAACAAAAACACAGTAAGGAACAGATGATGAGGTAATCATTTGAGAAATATAGGAAAACGGGGAACAGATTGATTATTAAATACACCTGCTCCACTAACTCAATCTCGCTGACCACTTTGCACGAAACGTTGAAAAGAAGCTTCCGAAAAGCAGAAAGAAACGTGCGCAGCAGAGAATAAAGAGTTACCATTGGGTGAGAGAAAAAGCAAGCATGAGAAATGCAGAAGAAAAGGCAATTCTCAACAATAAGTGTCCCATCCAGCAACTTGCCTCTCAAAAGAGCACTGTTCACACCCCCCTTTCATGCAGTCAAGAAAGCAACTCAAATGAAATTACAAGATTTTCCATCCATTCTTCTAGCCTATAAATAGGATGTTCCAACACGAAGAAAGCATCGAATTTCTTAAGAAGAGATCACTTAGTTTCAGTTTTAGTTTTTACTTTTCAGTTGTATAGTTTTTAGCAATAGTTAAGCGACAACAACCCTTCCTCTATTCTATACCTTTCGTTTGAGACTCCTCATGAGCAACCTCCATACTTCTCCATTTTATTTTCTTGTAACCTAATCTCTCTTCCAATCGTTATCTCTGAACTGAATCTCAGGTCTATGGGACTTCAGTTTGGAATAATTGTGTTTATAGTTATAGCCATGGGCTAAGTTATTTGTGGAACGGAAAAACTGTGAAGTTCTTAAAGAACTATATTCCAAACTTTTGCACTGAAGCTTTTGTATTTCTGTGATTTAAGTGTGCTTTATTCTTTGTGTATCAATGGAAATTGAACTCAACTGAGAAAGGAACTTCCATAAGGAAGGAATTTCAGACAACTTAATCTGAAGTTAGTAACTGTTGGAGTCAAGAGAGCCATAGGAATATGGAAACTTGTGAGCCATTAAAGTCCAGGAGCTGAGGAATCAGAGTTGGCAGTGAAAAGACCTGAACAAATTCAGAAGGGTTAAGTCTTAGGTTGAGAATATAGCTATTTAAGAATGGAACAGTGGTTCTGTTCCTTGTGTTAAAAACTATTTTATCCATCCATCTTGTTGTCTCTTAAATATTGTTATCTTGTAGTTATTTTCTTTCATAAATCTTGTGACTATAAAATCAAAACTCCAATGAATATTGTCGTTCCTTCTCACATCAAGAAGGATTTGATATATAACGACGCGAGGAGTTGTTTGAAGTCAGACTAAACTTACTATCTTTGAGGAATGTTTTCAAGATAGTAGGGAATGAATGACCAAACAGTTCAAATACTGTCTTTTTTTTCATTTTAATTCTTTGTGAAATAGTTCAAGGTATTATTTAGAGTTGTATCCTCGTGGGAATGATAATCTGGGCATTAATAATCTCATTTATTACTTGAAGCGTGCACTTGCGCACTTGGGTTGAAATCAAGAGGAAACAAAAGTGTTTCTTCTTGATGAACTAAATACAGGGAATGTAACACCTCGTGTATACCCGATTTGTTAACATGCCATCGTATTAAGCTACGCTTAATTTTAAAATGCGGAATATCTTTTTCTTTCCAATTATGACGTCATTATCATTACCAACTTGCTTACTTAATCATTTTCCAAAACATCGCGTGTATGTAATTGCAAATAGACAGCTAATTGAAATACCTTAATATATAAATAACATAAATGTGTCTCTAGTCACGAAACTACAACATGTAGACCGGACAAACCCTGATAGTTTATACAACTCAAACTAAAAGTACTAACATCAATGTGGCATGGACAAACCCCATGCTCAGCAAATAAGGCAACGAAGCGCAACATAGTCTCAACTCAACAACAACATAAGGAATACAGGCTAAACAACAATCCATAAACATAAGCGGGAAAACATAAACAGCAGTCAACTAAGCTCTGGCCTCCTGCCGCTAGAGGAGTTAACCTCCGCATTACCTGAACCTTAAAATGTGCCCTAAACGTGGGGTGAGATCTCTAAAAAGAAATCTCAGTAAGACAAGGGGTCCTCAAGGACTCTCCCGCCCCAAGCTCACTTACAGGCATAATATAAGCTCAAAACAGTAATTGCAATGCATGTTCAGGTTAAGCATATAAATCATGACAGTATAATCTCTTGCTCAACGAGCTAAACATTTAACTCAGTAATCATGTGATGTATGTAAATGTGGTTCGACTGGCCAGGGAACAGGATAGGGATTATGCATGTATGCGACCCATCTGACATAAGAGTTGCAGTCATGTGCCTTACACACCAGAGTTGCTGTCTGATTATATAAGTAAAAACATCACTTTCATACACTACATGCCTTACACACCAGAGTCGTTGTTAGATTGTGTAAGTAACGACATCATATTCACACACTACATGCCTTACACACCAGAGTCGTTGTCTGATTGTGTAAGTAACAACATCATATTCACATATCTCAGGCATATATCATGCATATAACATTTTCATAAAAGCATCCCATGCATATAAACCACCCTCCCATGGAGGTCGGTGGAACAAACAACAGACTAATCCGAGGACACGAAAGCTTACCTTGCAAGCTA